ACCTGGTTTCTCCCAAGGTTTTTTCTCCATTCTGTCACCGATGGAGTTTTGGTTCCTTGCCGCTGTCACCTCTGGCTTGCTTAGTTGGGGACACTTAATTTCCAGCGATATCGTTGACTTGATTGCAAATGATTGCAAAGATACTATTTAAACTGAACTGAGCTGGATGATGACATCACTGAATTCAATGATTAACTGCCTTTAACTGAAAAATGAGTGTTTACTATTGTCATTTTACATTATTGACACACTATTTGGCTAGTTAATGCTGTTCAGTTGCTTTGACACAATCTGTATTGTTAAAAGCGCTATATAAATAAAGGTGACTTGACTTGACTATTTACTTTTTCAATACCTGAAAATAGCATGCAGCTTAATTATAATAATAATACAATAAGAATAAACATGAAATCATATACCTACATATAGCGTATATCTAGAAATACATATAGTGAGAATAACCTCTTGTTTTGAGATGTTTTCTGACCATTACATCCAGTAGTAGTTATTTATTTTTATTGCCATGACAGCATCTAATGCTATCTTCATGGCAAAAACTGAGATGTAATAATACAGGAGTTACATAAGCACAAAATAAAAACCAAGCAAACAGAAAAATACAGCAGTTAAAATTATCCACTACGTGCACAAAGGCTGTTTCTATAAAGTGGGGCAATTCCAACTTTGCAAGGAAAGTCTGGCACTTCTGACTCACAGCCTGTAAGTATGTTTTCTTATTTAAAGAATTTGCCACTGATGATTCAAACGCGAGTTATGAGCAGTGTAGAGAAGCGCTTGTTGTTTGTAATTTCTCCGATCACAAATGCAGACATGGTTTTATGTTTACATAGCGCGCTATGCAATGCAACGCGTAAAAAGACAGTATAAGTCATTATAATCAGTAATTATGTCCCCACTGGATGCTACAAATGCCTCGTTTGTAATGGGTTTTATTGGTTTTGTCTCATCGTGCTGGGAGACGGCGTCACAGTAGGGTGAGGGGCATAACATTTCCGTCACACGCTTGAGGTATTTGGCCAATCACAACGCACTGGATAGATGGCCAATCAGAGCACACCTCGCTTTTCAGAACGATGAGCTTTGTAAAAATCGATGTGTTTCAGAAAGGCGGGGCATAGAGGAGCAACAATAATGTACATTATGTGGAAAATAATGTGTTTTTTGAACCTTAAACCGCATAAACACATTGCATTACACCAAATACACAAAATAATGTTCTTTTTAGCAACGTCATATGACCCCTTTAATATTTAGTTGATATTTTGCTGGCTACATACCAAGCTACTGTTAATAAATATGCCTCAGCTTGTCAATGTAGCATTAATGGATTGATCATGACTAATGTTTACTGCTTTGACATTACAGGGACTGATGAACACACTGGGCTCAGTGGAGAGTGGCTAATGAAGCCCTCTTCACTGGAAAGTGTAATGCTGCCATCAAAGGTTTTGAGTAAGTAAACAAGTTATGTAAAATATACTTTTATTCATGTGCTGTTGACACTGAATGTAAATACTAACACTTTAAGCAAAGGTCTTACTGCCTTCTTTTTATGCTTGATTTCCGTGCATTTATTGTGACAGAGCAGGGACTTGAGGGCAAAATTTCTGCCGCTCAAGTCCAAAGAAAGTGGGAGAACCAAACAAAACAAAACAAAAATATAAAATAAGATTTTTAATTTTTTTATTAGTTCACCCCAAAATTTTAAGTCGTTCATGATTTGATCATGCTAATGTTTTTCATTGTCATAGTAATGCAATAATCTAATGAATGTAATTGACTGTATTGATATTGTGCTTTTAAATTTTTGCAGGATCTCAAATGTCCACAGACTGGTGTTTTCGCCGGTCTTGGAAACCAACGTAAAAGGTGCACTTGCGCTACCTACTGGTCGGGAGTGCGGAGCGCACAGAGTTTAATAAGGGGATGAAGAAATGAAAGGGGAGAAAAAATTTAATACTTCTATATTCTTTATCTTTTTAAAATATGTAAAAATGTCCTCATATATTCTTGATTGCCTTTATCCGTTTTGCTACACCTTAGATTGCTATAATAATTCTCAAATTGTCGAGAGCTGAAGTTTTCCTCTTTCATATGCAATACCTTTTTGAATGCTTTGCTTTTCTGGGTGTCCACATTTGTCACAATTACTAGTTTATTTGTTTTGTGCAAACTGTAATTTTCTCAGTCTCGTAATGATAACCTTCTTTCTATTGCATTATCTAATTCTCTCACCCCCAAAAGTCCTGGACTTGGTATAAATGTCTTTTTTTTATTCCATTATCTCACATTAATTTGTTAATTTCATCTTTACTTATTGAAACTTTGATTTCATCTTGTGATTGTTTCAGTGCCATCTTTGGAGTGAGTCTCAGCCAAAAGGCACGTGGTTTTGATAAATGAGGCTTTTAAAAATGCAAAACACCATACAAATTAATAAACTAATATAAATTATACAAAACTTCTCATTTAATTGTATTTGATGGTTTGAAGATTGCGTTTAACAGACTACACATTACTTCCTCAATTATAGTACCATTAACATCAGTCAAAACATAATCTTATCATTAGAATCTCCTACATTTTCAAGTGTCTCTTTTCTGAGTTTATCCCAGATAGAAATACTAACAGACCTCCATCACTTAACAGTTTTGCTTGTTCAGTTATCACCTAACTTGGCCTTCAATGTATCGGTAAGTTTAAAGGATTTGGGGATCCTAAAAAAAAAAGTGTTACCTTTTTTGACGGACAGTTAATAATGTAGACATAATACAAACCCATATTTTATTCATTCTCAGTCATGTTTGGGGTAGAATATAATTTATTAGGCATTAAAATGTTTAAAACATGAAAAATCCCAAAAGCAATTATGATACAGATTTAGTTATTGTTCAGATATAACAAAAATCATGAAATCATTGTTAGTACAAGACTGAGTCATTTAATCTCATCACAGTTTACCACAATTTGTTCACCAGTTTAAGAATTTTTACCAGTGTGAATTATCTGGTGCTGTTTCTGTTCAGCATCTGTACTAAAGGTCTTCTCACACTTAAAGCACACATGATTCTTCAAACTAGTTTGAACTAGTTTAATTTTAAAACATTCAGCTGTGAAATATTCTTTCCACACAGAGAACACATGTGAGGCTTCTCTTCTGAATGAACTTTCAGGTGGTCTACATTAATTGTATATATAATTGTAAACAAAACTACATTAATCCACAACAATAAAAATCAATTCAATAAAACACTTAAAATTCATTCAAAACATAAAAATCAACAATTTACTGTATATCGTGCCATTAAATATTTTTTAAACATCATTTTACTTATTAAAAAAATATGTCCGATGGCAAATCATTCCAGATTTTGGTTCTTCTATAAATTACAGTCTGTTGCTTTGCATTAGTTTATCTGTTATGTTACTTATGGCTACTTATTAGGTTCTGTGTCTCATTTAGTTAGGATTATCTTTTTTTATATTTAGAGCTTGATTCCTCTATACAGTGTTCAGTCTTGATTTAACTTGAATATGTGAGGGAATCAGGTCAGTTTACCTTAAAGTGGACAGGAGTGTGGAGGTGATACTGGGAAGTTGGGAAACAAGAGATGTTAAAATTATTGATCTTGTAATAAATAAACCTGGAGTGACAAATTATTTAGTCCCAAAGATCTTAAAGCTTGAATTAGTTGAAATCTTGCTTTTTTACATGCATCACATTCATAAGTATGTGCTCTATGGTTTCTACTCATCCAAATGTCGTCACAATTTCCATGTTTCCCTTTTGTATTCAGACATTTAAAGACCAATGTTCGATACACATGCTTAGAATATAATATTCTTAGCGAGAACTGTCCCTTTCAATATACATACAATGAGAACATGTCTTTATATTAGCCAGCTACACCACTGTAAGGACCACCCACTGGTCCAACGACAGAATCCAATGGCGTGGGGTGAAAGATTCTGCAAGTGTCTTGTCTGCTGCGTCTGTTTATAAAAAAAAAAAAAAAAAAAAAAAAAAAAAATTAAATTTTATTCTCCCAATTTATAATCTGACTCCATTTGTAAATTGAATTCTAAAGACAATTTCAATAAATACTTCATTTATAGTGGATCATAAGATTAGTGGTGCATTAATTTGATCTTTCTGGGAAACCCTTACTTTCAACTACTAATTCGCCAGAGACAACGCCACAGAGGGGCAATGAATGTGGTAACAATTAACATTGAGAGCAACATAAAATAAAAATCAGATACAGGCTCACAAATAAAAGGTTTTATAAAATGATAAATTCTAAATTTCAGTCTTTAAACCGTATTTTAAGAGGGATGAGCCAAAAATATCAATTATAAATCAGTCATTAGGACTAAATTTAAACAAACTGAATGTTTCACAAAATTAGTAAACCAAGATTTACACATACTAAATCTCTCGCATTAGTGTTATGACATTTTAGCCCAATATTGCAACAATTTGCTTGACGTAGGGCATCGTGGGGATCCGTAAACGACAATGGGAGTTGGGACGCAAGTTTCCATCATTTCAGCTCGTGTAGGGTGTCATAGTGGACAACAAAAATAGTGTAGTCTGAACCCGGCATTAACCCATGTTCTTGGTTTCATTTCTGGTAGCTTTATACTTCAGTTCAAGGATGTCCCACTACTTTTGCTGCCAAGCTCCTGGAGAAATCAAAATACACACAGTCTTGCTAAACAGATTTATTTGATGAACATAGAAGACCTCAAATAAAATTCCCAATGGTTAAACTGGCATGGTTAGCTGCATGCACAGGTGGTTGGGCAACACTTCGGTCTGGCAGGACATTGATCATCATGGGAAGCGTTATCAGCACACATTTGGTCTGAGACATTGATCAGGCCTCACTGCATGGACACAGATAGTCAGAATTAGTCTATTCATTTAGCAGCAAACAGCACAAAGCACTCAAAGCATGAGCCAGAAGTTTTACTTCCACAGCTAATTGTATTCGGTTTTATTAATTTATTTTGAAAAGCAATGCACTTGAAATGGTGCTATGGGCCAAATTCAGGTACTTCATTTAAAAATATTATTTTTTTATTTTTTTTATTTTATTTTTTTAAAACGCGTGCTGGGGAACAAAGCATATATAACATACCTTCAAATGGAGGTGTACATTCACGTCCACATTTAGTGCTGCAGCATTTCTCATCGTTTGGACAGTCAATATCATTGACACACAACTTTTTACACAAACCTACTCCAAGGAATCTCCTTGGACACACTCCTGGCTTTTCTGTTATACAAACAGGGAAACCAGATCACTGAATGACTTGCTGTAATAGAGGGGGAAAAGCCGACCAATGAATTAGTATAACATACCCTTAGAGCCATACACTGATGTCCACATCCATTGCTGCAGCATTTCTCATCATTCGGACAGTCACCATCTTGGGAACACATCTCAACACACGCTCCTAATCCAAGGTTTTTGCTTGGACACACTCCTGGCTTTTCTGTTATACAAACACAACAGGGAAACCAGATCATTGAATATACACACACACACACACACACACACACACACACACTGGGGGAAAAAAAAGTATTGTCAGCCACCAATTGTGCAAGTTCGCCCACTTAAAAGATGAGGCCTGTAATTTTCATCATAGGTATACCTCAACTATGAGACAATGAGAAAAAAAATCCAGAAAATCACACTGTAGGATTTTTAAAGAATTTATTTGCAAATTATGGTGGAAAATAAGTATTTGGTCAATAACAATTTCATCTCAATACTTTGTTATATACCCTTTGTTGGCAATGACAGGGGTCAAACGTTTTCTGTAAGTCTTCACAAGGTTTTCACACACTGTTGCTGGTATTTTGGCCCATTCCTCCATGCAGATCTCCTCTAGAGCAGTAATGTTTTGGGGCTGTCGCTGGGCAACACGGATTTTCAACTCCCTCCAAAGATTTTCTATGGGGTTGAGATCTGGAGACTGGCTAGGCCACTCCAGGACCTTGAAATGCTTCTTACGAAGCCACTCCTTCGTTGCCCGGGCGGTGTGTTTGGGATCATTATCATGCTGAAAGACCCAGCCACGTTTCATCTTTATGCATGATGCCCCAAAGCATGATGTTTCCACCCCCATGCTTCACAGTAGGTATGGTGTTCTTTGGATGCAACTCAGCATTCTTTCTCCTCCAAACACGACAAGTTAAGTTTTTACCAAAAAGTTCTATTTTAGTTTCATCTGACCATATGACATTCTCCCAATCCTCTTCTGGATCATCCAAATGCTCTCTAGCAAACTTCAAACGGGCCT